GCAATTTGAAACACATTAATAAAATGAAAAGGCACAGATCAAAATAGGAGAAACTATTTGCAATACAAATATGTAGTAAATAACTTGTATCCAGAATGTATATAAGAATTTAATTAGTTAAAAATCAAGAAGACAACACAGTTTTTTAAAGTGAGCAAGCAAAAGATGTGAACCCTTAAAGAAGTTCTTTGAATGGCCAATAAGCACTGTATATCTAAAAAGAACAAATTAAGAAAAAAAGGAGATTATAAAATTAAAAATAAATATTGTAATGATTCAAAAAAAGATGCTAATGAAATGATGCTCAACATTGTTATTCATCAGATCTTTTCGTTTGTTTTTGTTTTTGATTTGCTACTGGGGATTGGACACAGGGGTACTTTACCACAGGTTCATTCATAATAGCTGGAAATGAAATGCCCATCAATAGGCAAATGGATAAACAAATTATGGTATATCCATAGTGATAGGGAATCTGCATGGAGTAAAATGCCACTCAGCAAAAATAAGAGGAATTAAACTGAAAAATGCAACAGCATGGGTGAATTATGATTATGATAAGTCAAAAAAATCAAACACAAAAGCATATATCCTGAAAGATTCCATTTCTAAGAAATTTTAGAATAGATCAATTTAATTATGTTGATGGAATATTGGAGTTAGCCTGGCACTGGGGATGGAGATGATTAACTGGGAAGGATTATCCTTGTCCTGGGCACAAGGATAATATTCTGGGATGATATATTCTATATCTTGATTATGGTAGAGATTATATGTATATAAAATTCATGTCAAAAACTCATTGAAATATACACAATTTATAGCATTTTACTGTAGGTAAACTGTACCTCAACAAAGTTAATTTTTAGAAAATATTATCCTTGGAACAGAATCAGGTTTTATGCCAGTTTTATTATTCTTTTACCCAAATGAGTTAATATGTCTGTTTACTCTGAAAATACAAAAAGAAAAAGATTATACATGGAAGCAATTACTGAGACAATATGGTTTTCTATTCTTCTAAGTGTTAAGACCATATTAACAATATTGCTTCATGCTTCTATAAAGAGCCTTATCTCTGTGTACTTTGTATTATTATGTATCTATAAAACACCACTTTATAGCAGTAGCTGTACTTTGCAAATCTCTTTTTACGTGGCTTAACTATTAATTCTGACATACACATTCGTTGTCCATCCCTCACAATTCTGAAATGAAGGAGGCTTTTGCTCATCAGCTACAACACAAAATCTGTGTGCCAGTTCAGGAATCCACTGTCTGGACTGACATCTGCCCTGCATTCCCCCAGAGAAAGGCCAGCAACTCTGAGCAGCTGGATGGCTGCCTGTGGAAAGAATGTCCCTGTCTCTGCAGCTTTTTAGGGGAGTGGGGAAGATAAAATAGGACTGCCAGATGGCTACAACTCATTACTGCCTGGCAGCATTCAGGGTGAAATGAGAGTAAATTAATCAGCATTCAGAGCGAATGAATGACAAGGGGAGATGTATATTGATGCTATTTTAGCGCAAGTCAAATTAAACCTGTAGAACTGACAACATGCATTAATCTCCCTGTTGCCTCTAGTAGCCGTGCAAATGAGCTCCCAGTTTCTTTATACAAACAGCTGTTATTTTTCTGTTATTACCTTGGCAAAAAATTCTAATGATGGCCTGGTAGGTTACCTCCAAGTGATTAATACAGACTTGCTGCTCTACTTCCTCTGCTAATGAGAGAAAGAAGCCTATATTGTAGCAATGATTTTTTTAAACTACAGCCCTTGGACAGAAGGCAGGACTTGTGCAAACCAACAGATCTGTCACTCATCTGCAAACACTCGTGCCTAAATGAGTGCTGTGGACTTACTGTAAGGTATTGCACAAGTTGCAAGGATATTTTTTTTTTCCTAAAGGGAAACTGAAGTAAGATTTAAGGTTTGTTTTAAAACAGCATTTCAATTTATATTTTCAACTATATGTAATGGTATCATGTTGAATTACCTTCTCTGTGACATATTTAGGAATAATATTATACTGTAAAAACAGGTTGACCTTCGATTTAAAAGTAACGCATAAAATTGATTCATGGTATCTGAATTAAATTGAATTTCTACTCAGTTGAAGCTCTTCTCTGACATATTCTGTGGAGTTTCTGGCATTATTTTTACCCCCACTTTTAATACTGAATATGACTACCCTCATTGGATGCTCCTCTGGTGGGGCCTACTAAATTAGAAAGACCTCCCAGAGCCTTCGAATAGCCAGAAAGACTAATTAGAAGATATCAGCTTCCAGGATTATAGTAGGATGCACAACTTGGAGGATTTCAAAATCACAAAATGAGCAGCAAGGCTCTGGTACATCTTCCAGTGTTTATTATTCTAGAAAATTGCTATTCTTACTTGACAGCAGATCCAGATTGTAGGTATTTGAAGCTTGTACATCTGGAAGGGGGGTCTTTTTTAAGATAAAAGAATACAAACTTGTAAAACCAAAATTTCGTGTGAAAGTATTTTCTTTTTTTTTCAAGAGAGAGAAAGAGAGTTTATTTATTTTTCAGTTTTCGGTGGACACAACATCTTTATTTTATCTTTATGTAGAGCTGAGGATTGAACCCAGCACCCCGCGCATGCCAGGCAAGCGCATTATCGCTTGAGCCACATCCCCAGCCCTGAAAGTATTTTCTTACTCTAAAAAAAGACACAACAAAGTCCAATTTTAAAAAGCTAACAAATTGGGTGCTTTTATTTGTTTTTACATTCCCAAATTATAGCAATCTTTCAACGTTTCATTTCTTAGCTTCCACTAAGAAATTTCCTTTTCATTATATTTGAATTTTGGGATAATTTTGAGAAATATTAATAAGATTCACTGGAGGAATTAAATCTATTTTTTAATTGCCATATGTGGTACTGAACTACATAACTATAATTAAATAACACAGTGCATCTGTTGAACTTTCATTACACATATAGCTTTGTTACTAGAACACTTGTTTCTATAGTTCCCTGCTCTGTCAAGTGGATATTCTTCATGTTTGGGAACTTTTTTCCCCAGAACCACCAAACGTTCTCAGGACCAATGCATGAGGTTCCCTGTACATGCTAAAGTGTAATCCAATAGCTTGGGATGCATAAACTGTAACAAGAAAGATACACTCACTGTTGCGGTACCACTCTTACTGGTTTCATCCTCAAACACAAGAACTCTGACAAATTCTGTTGTATTCAACTCGTACAAAAACATACACTGCATTTATAATTTTCTCATCACAGGGAGAATTTTTATTTTCACAGAGTTTCAATAAGAATCAAATCTTCCACTTATAATTTTACATATAATGTCTGGAGGCATATTCCAGAGTAGCTTCTGGTTTCACACATTTCAAAATCTGTTCCTCCTCTACTTGGTATGTCCTGAAGTGCAAAGGACACATTCATATTGTAATAGAGACTTTTGCCCCTGCACCATTGAGTCACAATTCTAAGAATCAGCACAGTGGATAGTAGGAGTATTTCTGGAAGCCATTCCTATACCCCTGACAGTTAACTACAACTTAATGATGTGCAGAAATTACTGCAAACCACACAAATATTCCACTGACCTCAACTAAGTATGTCCCCAACTCATCTTCCCCCAAAACCTGCTTCCAAAATGTCCATGGCTGCTCTAATACTCCTTGACAAGAGGAATGAAACAGAGAGGAAGCTGGAATATTAACTAATTTAATTAACATCTTTCTTTTGTGCATTTTAGAAAATCTATAACCATATATTCCTGGCATTGCTCCCTTGTCTTAGAAGGATCCAAGCAAATGAGGGGCACTGAAATTTTAACTTTATTGCCTTCATAGTAAATCAACCTCTGTTCTTATCTATTATTTCATAAATCTGTTGATTTGTAAAAAATTACTGAGTCAAGGGAGAGAAGATCTGAATCAAGCAGAACTTTCATACTGGATACTGCACATCAGTTCAAACAACAAATACTTTCTTGATGTGTCAAATGCCTTCATCTTCCTTGCAGACCCCAGAGTGGACACTGAACACTTAGGCTCTTCCCAAGGAGCCACCATTCCTTCTTCAGTCTATTGATACTGAACACCTAACTAGAAACATCACATATGTACCCCCACCACAGAGAGAGTGGAGTACAAGAATCTATGCTCAGGTGGGCACATTCCAATGATCATTTTCCCATAAACAAAATTAACTTTGACAACTAGCATGAGCAGACATAGGGCTATTTCATGAACAAAAGGACAAAGAGAATGAATTATTGGGGCCAGATTGCGCTAGCAAAAATTATGCAAACAAAAACCTAAGACAATAAAATCCACAAAATAATAATTTCTCAATATAATTTGTTCCCTTTCCACCTGGTCCCTACTTAAGAATCCCAAACCCAAATGTTCAGAACACCTGGACAAACCTCCTTACATAGATTTCTACACCCAGAAAAGTATTCTGCAGACAATGAGATTCTGTTTTCCAAAAGGACTCAATTATCTAGTAAATTTAAGAAAGGCTGTATGCCGTATCCCCTTAGGAATTTACAATGTTCCTTACCAAATTAAAAGTTCCAAGAAACTTTGCAGTAAAGAATCTACTTAGCCCAATATTCTCTACGCTAATTCAATCACTTTCCAAGAAAAAACAAAATATAATAGAATTAGAGTTTCATAAACCACACTTTGCACACATTTCCTTGGCCTGCTGGCAGTGTTGGGTTTCTAGATCAACTATTCTCAAAAGTTGTAGCAATTTCCCCTTCCTCAGTATGCTCCAGGCACAACAGGCCTTCTTCCCTTCCCTTCCCCAAACACTTTAATCCCAGGACTTACTATTCCCTCTCTGTGGAACTCTTTTCCTACAAGAACATGGTGGATTATTCTTTCACTTCATTCAAGTCTCTGCTCAAAAGCTAGCATTTCAGAGAAATTTTGTTAAGGACTGAATTGTGTCCCCCTCACCCAAATTTATATGTTGAAGCCCTAACACCAACATGACTACAGTTGGAGATAAGGCTTTCAATGAGGTAATTAAAGTTTGATGAAGTCATAAGAACCCTCATCTGAAAGGACTTAGGAGACAAGAGGCACCAGAAGCACATGCATGAAGAGGAAAGGACAGTATCTGAAGCCAAAGAGGGAGGCCTCACCAAAAGCCAACCCTGTTGGCATCATAATCTTGGGCTTCCAGTCTCTAGAACCATGAAAAAATGAATTTCTACTATGTATAGTATTTATTCTTGAGGGTATTTTGTTACAACGTCCCTAGCTGACTAATACATCTTCCCTAACAACCTCACCTAAAATTAGCACTTCTAATTATTCTCTCACCTCTCTGTCCTGCCTTCTCTGCAGATCAGTATCAATACTTGACATTACATATGTATTTCTCTAGGAGACTGAGAAGCACTAGATATAGTGGGTATATGGTGGGGTTCAAATCCTGATTCTGCCACTTTCTAGTAATGTAATCCTGGACAAGTTATGAATGCTCCATGACCTTTCCATCTGTTAAATGGTGGTAATAGAAATTGTTATTTATTCAAATGCATTGTTATAAGAGTGTAATGAATTATAACATGTGAAGTACTTAAACCATACAAGCATTCAATCACTGTTAGCTGCTATTTTTTATTATCCATCCACCTCACTGCAAAGTACACCTGGTTATGTCTGGGGCTTTGTCTTTCTCGTGACAAATCAGTCAATCATAGCTTCTGGGTTGCATGTCAAGCCCTCAGAAAATAGTTTCTACCCACATATCTGAATAATGAAGGCCCCAGGTCTTTTCTCAAAGTTTGCAAAGTAGAAATCATCGTTTGTGCTTATATACTAACACTCTTGATTTCAGAGCTCTCATTCTCACATTTGCTGTAGGACTGCTGCCAAGTGATACTACTTAGATTGACACAGGCTAATGAGCAAAGTTCAGAGGGGCAGTTAACCAGATCCAGAGGACACAGGCTTGTATACTCAGAGAAGTGTACCCTGGAAACAGCAACATGACATTCACATTGTGAGCAATGCTTCACTGCAGCAAAATGCCACCCATATGATTAAATCAAACCACTTCATTTGAAATTGTTAGTTCTGTTTGTGCTTGATTCTCGTATTAGTTGTGTAGCTATATGTAATTTGATATTCCAAATATCAATCTATGGTACTTTGGCACCTTCTGCTGATGAACTTCAGAACTTTCATTGCTCTACAGCATGTCAATGCAGTGAGTCATTCCTTAAGGCTCAGATAAAAACAGAATCCAAATCAGATGGTAGGTGGGTTTCGCATTAGCTTCAAGAGGCCACAATTAGCCATGATAAGTTTGGGGGCAGCTATCACCAAAAGTCCAGTATAATAGATGATATGACAGAGTAGTTTCCCAGGAATTCTCTCCAAAATATCAATTTTTGCAAATCACTTGTGCCTTAAAACGTCATGCAAGTCAACAGAGGGAGTGTTTACTATCAAGGAAATCAACAAGGGGGTTAATCCTCAACCTAATGTGTCCCTCTATTTTCATCAATGTAGATTTTTCCAATGGTATTTATTATTGTTCCCAAATGGCACAAAGCAGGTAAAGGATTTGCTGCTATTATGACAGCAAATTGTACATTCTTTATGGCTCCCCACCCAAATTCTGGCAAATCAAACAGATCACCAGTGTTTCAAATATTTTCATTTTTTCATAGCTTCTGTGCCTACCATATATTACTCTAAGCAACCAATTTGGATTGGAATCAGAGCCTTTAGAGATAAAAGTTCTCAAGTTCTGAAGGATGTTTTAATAAATTCTAATACTTAATCTAGCAGCAGTACCCAGTGATGAGTAAATTTTGTAAATTAAAAACAAACTTTCATACTAGCAGTGAACAATCAAAAATTGAAATTTAGAAAACAATATTCTTTATAATCACATAAAAATATGATAAATAGTGATAAACTGACAAAACATGTTGAAGACTAAAAACCACAAAACACGGTTGAGAGAAGTTACTCAAAGAAACAGAATAGATATCATGCTCATGGTTTACAAGACTCAACATTGTTAAAATACTAATTTTCTCCAATTATTTATTTATAGATTCAATGCTATCCTAGCAGAACTTTTATAGAAATTGATAAAACTGATTCAAAATTCATATGGAAATGAAAATGACCTACACTAGCTAAAACAACTTTGAAAAAGAATAAAGTTGGAGGACTAACAATACCTGACTTCAAGACTTATTTTAAAACAATAAAACAAAAGACAAAGGTGTTGGTGAAAATATTAACAATTAGATTAGTGGAACATCATAAATACTACAAAATAGAGCCCCACATAATTGACTTCTGATTTTTGACAAAGATACAAAGCCATTTCAGTGGGACAAGAGTAGTCTCTTTAACAAATAGTGCTGAAACAATTTGCATATCTATATGCAAAAGAAAAAAAAGGAAAAACTCTAACCTATACTTCTCACCATACACAAAAATTAACTCATAGTAGATTGTAGACCTAAATACAAACCTAAAATTATAAAACTATCAGAAGAAGACATAAGAAAAGATCTTTGCAACTTTGGGTTGGGCAAAGATTTCTTATATATGAAAAGCACATCCATAAAAGAACAAATTGGACTTTTTTGAAATTAAAAATCTCTATGCTTTGCAATAACTAAGTAAATAAAAAGGTATGACTCAGACTGAAGAAAAAATCCTTGAAAAATCATATCTAATAATTGACTTGCTTCTAGAATACATAAAAAACTACTTGTTGGATTTTTAGATGTGGTTTCACTATGTTGTCCAGGCTGGTCTCAACTCATGGGCTCAAATGATCCTCCTGCCTCAACATCTTGAGTAGCTACAACTACAAGCACAAGCCACAGAACCCCACGACATAAAGAATTCTTAAATTTTAATTTTAAAAACATTTTTTCTTAAAATGAGCAAAATAGTTGAACAATCTTTTCATTAAACAAGTAATACAAATGTCAAATAAGTACATAAAAGATGTTCAACATCATTAAGGAAATGTATATTAAAACCACAACAAGACACCACCTCACACCATTGGAATGGCTAAAATCAAAAAGACTCACTATCCCAAGAGTTGCTGAGTATGTGAAGGAACTGGAATCTCATGCACTGCTGGTGGGAATATAACATGGTATCACCACCTGGAAAATAGTCTGTCAATTTCTTAAAACATCAACATTATCTCTATTATATGATCCAGCCATTCTACTAGGTATTTACCAAGAGAAATGAAAACATATGTCTATGTAACGACACATATAGGAATGTTCTTATAAGCTTTATTTGGCATAGCCTAAAATAGGAAACCAAAATGTTCATCAGTAGAAGGAAAAGCAAATGGTTTATCCATACAACAAAATCCTATTCAGCAATACACACGTCAATCATGATTGATGCAGGCAATAATACAAATGAATTTCAAATAATTATAATGAGTGAAAGAAACGAAACAAAAAAGAGGTATATTGGATAATTATAGTTGTACAAAATTATAGATAGCGCAAACAAATATATAGTGGTGACAGGAGGTAGATCAGTGGTTGCCTGGGATTTGGGTGAGGGAATTGGAGATAGGAAAATGATATGAGAAACTTTGAGGGTGTTGGATATATTCATTATTGGATCATGGTGATAGTTTCATGGGCACACTCATGCATAAAAATTATTAACTTGTACACTTAAAGTGTGTGAAGTTTATTTTATGAATATCCTCCATAGGAGCTACTTAAAAAGAAAAAAGAAAACCGTTAAGTCAGCCTCAAAGATCATGATCTCAAAACTTTCAATGTGGGTCAGAATCATATCAGATCCATTAAATGATATCTCACCTTCATGAAACTTCTTTTGCCACCAATATCCTAACACCATTTTCTCTGGTTCCTCTCCTACCCTCAGAGTTTCCCTCCTTTTCAATTTCTTTCCCTCATTCTTATCTTTCCTCTCATGTTCTCAATGAGAGCATTTTTTAGGGTCAATAGCATTTTTTAGGATCCGTGGTCCTTTATATGCTTTGCACACTCCTTCCTGAGTAATCTCTCCACCCCATCAAGCCCAGCCAATAAAACACTAATAAATTCCAAGTCTATATTGCAAAGTTTGTCCTCTCTCCTGGATTCTGTAATTCTACCGGGTTCTCACTGAACAGCTAGCTGGACAACACGTCTAATTTAATGCTTGCAAAATTCCATACATGTCCCATCCAAACCTGCTGCCCAGCCCAGGTTCAGGTCTCAGTTTGCAGCACCAGAGTCTCCCCACCATCATCACCAACCAACCAGATGGCACGATTGAAATCTCACCTCTGTCACTTACTAGATTTGTGTTTTAGGCAAGGCATTCTCCCCCTCTGGCTTCATTTCCCCATCTGTATCAGTCTCTTCCTCATACGATTACTATGAGGATTAAATAAGATAATAACCATGAACTATTTATATAGAGTTTGACATATAGTAAGCACTTAACGATTGTTAGATGATTGGTGAAATCTACCTTTCTCCATTTAATTATTCACCAAGAGCTGTTCTTTTCATTTCTGCAGCCTCTCTGTCTGCTTCTCTCCTTCCTCTGCAATCTCCTATCTCAGACTCCTCACATCTTGATTCATGTTGAGATAGCCTACCCCATCTCTTCTCTTCAGTCCATTATTTAAAGTGCTACCTAAGTGTTTCCTTCACCTACCTCACATCACACACTTCCATGATCAAAGACCTTTGATTAGTCCCCTTGTCCAAATATCATAGAATTTAGGGCATTCAAGGTCCATAAGATTTGATGATACCCCATTTTTCCAGCTTCAGCTCTTCAGACACTCTGGCCTGAACTCCCTGCCATTCAGCCATTCTCAATTCTTCCCTAACCTCTAGGAACCCTGCCTGCCTGCTGTCTCTGTTTGCTGCAGGGCTTCCTCAGCTACCCATCCCCCAGGCTCAGCTCAGATGCTATCTTCTTTTTTTTTTTTTTTAAATTTTTTATTGTTGGCTGTTCAAAACATTACATAGTTCTTGATATATCATATTTCACAATTTGATTCAAGTGGGTTATGAGCTCCCATTTTTACCCCATATACAGATTGCAGAATCACATCAGTTACACATCCATTGATTTACATATTGCCATACTAGTGTCTGTTGTATTCTGCTGCCTTTCCTATCCTCTACTATCACCCCTCCCCTCCCCTCCCCTCCCCTCTTCTCTCTCTGCCCCCTCTACTGACATTCGTTTGTCCCCCTTGTATTATTTTTCCCCTTCCCCTCACTTCCTCTTGTATGTACTTTTGTATAACTCTGAGGGTCTCCTTCCGTTTCCATGCATTTTCCCTTCTCTCTCCCTTTCCCTCCCACCTCTCATCCCTGTTTAATGTTAATCTTCTTCTCATGCTCTTCGACCCTATTCTGTTCTTAGTTACTCTCCTTATATCAAAGAAGACATTTGGCATTTGTTTTTTAGGGATTGGCTAGCTTCACTTAGCATAATCTGCTCTATCTTCTTAATGAACTCAGTAGTTCCCTGGCTGGAATTAATCAGTCTCTCTTCAGTGCTTCCCTTGTACTTTGTTTACACGTTGATCTGAGAGCTAACAGTATTGGCATTTATACATTTGCTTTTTCCCCCTACTTACCTTAGGCATTCCACAAAACCTTGCTGAATGGAATGAAACAGAGGAAAGAACATGACAAACAGGCTACCTAATATCTCCCTGGTAATGTCACCTGCTCATAGAGGTTCCTTGAAGATTGACACTTTACAAATTAGCATCCTGTTCAAGCCAGAGAGCACCAGAGAGCCATCTCAATGGAAGGCATGCAAGAATAATAGCAGCAGCACCACCCAGGGGTTTGTGGAGTGAAGGGAGAAGCATGTAAAATGCAATGGATGCAGACTCAATCTGGGTTGTTCTAAGTGGTTCCTTCAGGAATTAAGATGCCTGTCTTCTGAGAGGGAAATCCTTTACAGGTCCTTGTTCAAGATGCCAGGCAAGCATCCCAGATCTGATTAACTGGTAAATGAGGGTGCAGACTCTACAGCTGGGACAGACTCTGCACAGCCATGTAAAGCCCCTAAGGGAAGAATTTGGGAGACACTGACAGCAGTTTGTCCATAGACTACTGGCCACTTGCCAGTCAGGCAGCTGTCAACAGGGGCAGAGGCAAGGTGAGACATAACAAGAATGACCCCCAGAAGGCGGCTGCCAATCCCCCTCAAAATTTCCAAATTCTCCAAGGGATCCTTTAACTTGAGAAATTTTTCCCCAAAGCAGTTAAAGGCAACTCAGTGCATATACTAAGTCAGTATCAGTGTTGACTTTGGCCAATGGATTGCTCTTTCTCTTCCCAGAAACTGTGGAGTTACCACCCAACCCCCACCACTCTGACACAGGACCAAGGTAAGTAAACAGTAGAACCAAGAGTGCAAGCATCAAGGGGGAAGGAAAAGGGCCACTGCACCAACCATTCCACCACTGTCACTTGTGGCCACTGTTTCTTGTCTCTACTCAAAGAGGGCAGGGCCCATGACTTGCTCTTCTTCATACACCCAGCATAGATTAGGTTCTGGTCGAATAAATTGGGTTCTAGTTGAATAAATGAGTGCACCTCTCAGAGAAGTATATTCCAGTTAAACTGAGTACAAAGAATCTGAGGCTCCTGGCGTCATCTCCATCCCCACCAGATAAACACTCATCTCTAGCAGAGCTTGGGAGATTAGCTTTTCAATTCCTCTACACTTGGTAACTGAGTTACAAAGTAACCTGCCAGCAATCTCAGAATAATGGGGCAATTTAAACAGAGCAAAGTCCATAAAAAGTTCCACAGAGATGTGCTGAGCAAAGGCCAGAGCCCTGGCAGTATACAACCGCAGACTCCAAGCACCACTGCCCAACAAGGTCTTACATTTGGCCATGAACCCTGTGCTGTCGGCCTTCCTGAGAGAGCTCCCCAGCTGGTTCCTGTTCTTTGGGGTCTTCCTGCCTGTGGTTTTGCTGCTACTCCTCCTCATTGCCTACTTCAGGATCAAACTGATTGAGGGTAAGTGTGGAGCCACACAAGGAAGGGCTTAGATGTCCTTCCCTGGACACACCTTCAAAACATGTCAGTGTTTCTGGGCGGCCTGGGAGAACACATTTTTTGATTTGCAGGTACTTTCTCCTAACCCCACCCCCAATTCCTTGAGATCTTTTGGTGAACTGGGCAAAGTTTGGACCTTTCAGCCCTGTAGAATGTGTGGTAGGATGAGAAGACTTGTTGTAGGAACCCCTTAACTGTAGTCACTCAGACCAACTGTGAATCAGCAATTTTGACACACAATTGCTTGTGTCAACCTCTTAAAGCAACAGATTCATGAACATTAAAAATACTGTTCATGGTCTGCCTTTTCCGTATGACAGATGTATATGTGTATGTGCTCAGGTGCATGTATGTACCCACGAGTGTCTCTGCATGTACACACGTACCTATGATTATTTGCACAGGCACATTTCTATTTTATCCACTGCATTTTTAGTCAGAGAATATTCCCAACATTGTGGTATCACAGTGATTGGCAAGGTAAAGCACTAATAGGTAAGTGACCAAAAGAAAAGAAGGCAGGAAGGACACCTTAGGAAGTTAATTTATTATCTTAGGAAGGTGATTTGGAATGGATATTTGGCTCCTGGATTGAGACTATTTATTCTGCTATAATTAAAATTAATGAAACTGGGTTGAGACTTGATAGAAAACATGTTAATTCCTCATCCAGTAAATATTAGGTACCATACAGGTTTATAACTATTTTAGCAATATAAACAAAAATCACTCAATTTTAAAATGTTGACAGTGTCATATTAAAACACTAAAAAAAAAAAAAAATGAAAACCCTTCCTCTTCCACAAACACTTGCCAAGCCCAAACAATGCCAACAATGCCATGTATGTTCCTATATGAATGTATTCAGAATCTTAAATGATGCATGCCATAATATATAACCTAAAATATATCAGCAAAGCAATTAGGGATATTTATGTCTAAGAGGAGATTTATAACATTGAGAAATCTAGAGGACAAAGACTGTATTGCAAAATCTCAAAGTTTTCATCATAATTTACTCAAACACTCCATAGCCTTTCACTTTGTGTGTCACATTTTTATGAACAGTTCTCTTGTTGGATGATGAAGATGCATTCTCTCTCACTCTACAGGATGTGAGAAATCCTTTCATTTATTAAGTCAGATCACCCTGCACTGCCCCCAAACCAGTCTGCTGGATGGTCTGCTACTTGGCCACTCATGACTACCAGGCCCTGATAAGAGACTCCAACAAAGGAAAAAAATCAGAAATCTCCAAGATCTATCTATAGCTTTCCTTTGTCCCAAACTGGCTGAATGTCCAGCAACTGCAAACATTTCCACATTACAGGCCTTCATGGTCGTTGCAAGACCACTGTCTGTGGCACATATCCCAGGCTCCCTTTGACACTGAGCACCCTGGGGAGAAGTAACAGGATGCTGATGTCACAGTCATGACCATGACCTTGAATACTTCATGTAGCTCCCAACTTTTATCCATGACTGCCTCTTGGGCAAGATAAAATTTTCAGTATCTCAAAAATGTATCAAGCATCAAATAAGGCAAACAACAGGTCAGGAGAGCCTCATGGATTTTAAAGCCTCTTACTAATCTCTGCTTACCAATTTTTATAGATCAGATAATTCAGTAGGACATCTGGTATTTGAGGCAGACTCTGCAAGAGGGCAGACCTTGATTTATAGCTCTACTTTTCCCTGGGAAAACATCTATAATATGTAAAACGTGAATGAGTCTACAGTATTTTATTTAGAACGCACTGGGAAAGTTAACTTGCCATTGATGGTGTGGCCTGGCATCCCAGAGGGATGATAGTGGGGAAGTGCAGACAAAGTGCCAACTTCAGGGCCAAGCCCAGACAAAGTGCCCAACGGGTGTACAGTGATCCCTTCTGCCTGCAGCACATCCTATCCACGTAAGGGATCTACAGATCAAGTCACAGACACAAATCATAACCTTAAGTTCAGAACTCGACAATATTGGAACTTCTTCTGAAGGATTAGACTGAAGGGAACAAAAGGCCCCAAAGAACTATTATTATTCTTCATACTTCCTCCTCCCAAATTCTGATATGCTAATGAGCCTGTCCTAATTCCTAGACTTTTTCACAACTGTGAATCTTCCCTTCCTTCTCAAAGCTTTTATTTATTTGGAACACAGGATCTAACCCAAGGGTCAGCAAGAATGTCAGCCTCACATGAGGGCAATGCTCTCTGCACAGAGTCCTTCAACCAACTTACAGTTCTAACAGTTGGGAAGTCCAAGGTCAAGGGGCTGCATCTGGTGAAGACCTTGCTGGTGGGAGCTCTCTGTAGAGTTCTGAGGCAGCACATGGCATCACATAGTGCCAGGGGAACATCTAAGAGACAGTTCCAAGTTGGTTTATAACAGATACACTCTCAGTACTGCACAAATCTATTCATTCAGGAATAGTTCTCATGATCCAATCACCTCTTAAAGGTCCACTTCTTAATACCTCACAATGGGGATTGCATTTCCACAGAGTTTGGGTAGCAAACCGAATCAGAGTCCTCCGACACACCAGGAATTTCCCTAGATACTGGAAAAAGACTTTTACTATGGGCTCTGAGGGCTGGGGGAAAAAAAAGAAAGAAAAGAAAAGAAAAGAAAACAATCACAGTCTTCAAAAAACAAGAAAGAACATTTGACAAAATCATCAAAAGTTAGAGATGTTACAAATCTCTGTTTTTTACCCTGGCCTCAGTCAATGTCTAGTCAAAGGGCTGAAGAATAAACTGACCTTTCTCCTTAAGTCTCTTCCTAAATGTCAGAGCTGAACCCTTTGATATGGCCATGGGGCACATCAGTGATTTCACAAGCCACGCTCTCCATTGCTGCTCACTTTTGCTCTCACTGAAGTGATCCTGGAGCTTCCAGGCTCTGGGTAAAGGGTATGGGAGGAGAGAGGAAACTAAAGATGCTGTTTATTATGGCATACCAAAAATCTCTGCATCCGTCAGTTAATGCAATGAAGGCCTGCCTCACCCAAAGCTTATTGTTTAAAAATTATAGTTCTTCTTGTAGTCATTTTCCTAAAGGTAAGCAGTAATATTCTCTCTCCAGGCTGAGGGCAAGCGAGATCATTTAGTCCAAAATAAAATATCACCAGTTTAAATCTCCATTTAGCAACATCCACTTAAAAACTGTAAACAGATGGGCAAACGTGATGTCGTTAATCTTCTAACCAGGGCTATGGCAAGTGTCATCCTTCCTATTTTGTTCCTTTAATGAGAGAGATGGTGACAGATTAACTGGTGCATTCACAGAACCTCAGAGTCCTGCATTCCAAAACAGAAACCAGCTTGCCTGTCTCATACATCCTAGACTGCCAGGCTAGAAAGCCATTTTGGATGTGATGGAAAGCATGTGGAGGTGTTGTAATTACTCAACGTTAATCCCTACTCTTCAAGCCCTAGGAGGTAATGATGCATGTAAATTTAATTAGTATGGCAAGAGCATCAATTTTCTCACACAGGAAGAAAAAATCTCTAACATCCTGCTTTAATCTGTGTCAGTTGCCTCGAGAAGTATCTCTTGGGGTAGAGGTCTAGGTATCATACTGGCCATAGACAACCTTCCTCTACTATTGCCATGAACATTTTATATCTCCTACAGCAAAAGTTTTGATTACCTTATCTCCCCAAATCCTGAAATTTCTAGACCTTGACCTACAGTCCTGAAAATATCATCACCCTGATCAAAAACAAATTTCTATCTCAAATAAAATTGCCCAAAACAGTCATTATGAAAAAAAATTGTGTCTTTTGAATGCCTGAAAGTTTATGTGGCGTTAGAACCAAACTAAGGTTATTGATCAGGTTCTGGCCTTCGATAACTTGCATTTATACCATAACAAAGAGGTAAGTATTGAAAATATGCAAGGTGCCTAGGTATCTTTCACTCAACTTCATATACATGTTTGAGTGGCCAGCAGTCAAAAAGGAAAAAAAAAAAATATTTGGAAAGAGCAGATTAACTTGGAGTTAGCAGAGTAAAATTGTTAGGAGCTCAGACCAATGAGTCAAATCAAGTAGGGTTTGAAATCCAGTTCTGTTAACAATGGCCTTTCTATTTCTATTTTAAAGCTTCAGCTTCCTCATCTGTAAAATAGAAATCAGAGCAGGGCACAGCTGTGGAATAGGCATGGGATAAAATGAGGTGATGCACACAAGGTTCTTAACAGTGCCCAGTCTGCAGAACACTCTTACTTATTACTACCCCTGCTGGCCCGTACATTCCAAGAAGGCAGAGAGGGTGTCATTGATAAAATAGCTATTGTTAGCATCATTAAGTAAATCTTTCTGGGCCACTCACCTTGAAAGCAGTAGAGATAGGATTTAAACCCTGGTTCTCTGGCTCCAGAGCCAGTCTCCTCAGTAGATACACTACTCCACTGGAGAACTAAACGCCAGATAGGCAGAGTATCTGCCCAATGGAAGGATCCTTTTGACCCAGGCAAATAAACTTACCACCAATTTGAAAAAAAAAGCCCCTATGGGGAAATCTGAAATAAGGCAGAATTTGACAAAAGCTTTAAAAAGTTTGATCAATCTTATATTACACAACAGGAATAATTATTCTTATTGATGATGGCAGTTCCTCCACCTGAGTCAGAGATTGTATTTCTTCACCCAGGGCCCAACAGGGAAAACCTCCTTGCATGCAGAATTTTCCACAATAACAAGCTCAGATGTTTTCAAGGATACCTGCCTGTCTAATCTCTCTGAACACCTTCCTAAACAGACCTACTAAAATAAAATGATGGCCCAATTGCAATTGTCTTTTAGGAGAAGGATAAATTATTTTATTCCTCTTGTTCTTTACAAGATGTGTAGCACACACTGTTCCCTGGATAGGTGACTCACTGAAGACCTATGAGCTTCTTCTTGTTTCCTCTAGTTCTCTACTCTTTGAGTTCTCTTCTTTCAGTATTATTATTCAGGTCATCCATTTCCAGCTCTAATTTGTATCTTGGTCCCTCATTCAAAACACTTGTTATACAGCTAGCCATTGGTAATTAAAAAAGAAAGGGAGGAAATTACTCATATTTCAATGTGTTCAAAAGCAAAGTCATGGGCTACCTCAAAGGGATATCTGAAATAGCAATAACTTATGGGGACACGAAACCCTGTGGCTGAAAGTGTGAACTCTGAAGTCAGACTGCCTGACATCAAAACTTGAACCAATGAGTTTTGGTGATCTTGAGATAGTTGCTTCACCTTGATATCTGTCTGCCTCAGACTGCTCATCTATAAATGAATATTAATAATACTGGTGACCAGCTTATGTCATTACAAGAATTAAGGGCTTCACTCTATGTCTGGCACACAATAAGTGCTTGGCAAACATTGGCCATTGAATCATGATTCATGTAACCGAGAGTTGTCATCATAAGCACATTCCCCCTCTCCTGAGCAAGATAAGCATTTGTGGAGGCCTAGAAGAATCCACATCAGGGAAAGATGCATGTCCTAGGGTGTGTGGCATATAAAATAACTGACAAGGGATAATGTGCATGAATTTGTGTGAAAGACAAAGAGAACATTTTCAGTTTTAATTCTAAAAACATATTTATCATTTCCCATGAGTTTAGAAGCTCCTGGTATCTGGCATGATTAAATTGTAATTCTGCACATAAAACTTAAAAGCAAAAGCAGGATTAATTTTGTGTTGGTGGTGTTCAATAAGGGAGATGTTTTTTGATGTGCCAATAAGATATGTGTTGGGATCTTAAGAGAGATCTCAGGGTTAGCTAAAGATCAAATCTGGGGAGGTGCAATAGTACACGTCTGTCATCCTAGCTACTCAGGGGGTTGTGGAGGAGGGTGGAAAGTTTGAGGTCTATCTGGGCAACTTAGACCTCTCAAAATATTAAAAGACCTAGGATGCAGCTTAGTGGTAGATTGCCACTGGGTTCAATGCCTAGCACAGGGTAGTAGAAGGGGGCCTCAAATCTGTTTAGTTGCAAGTGAGAAATTAGTTGAAGCTGCAGGAGATGAACTCACAGAAACATGATACATAACAAAAGCTGAAGAGAGGAGACTGAGAGTGGGGAGGAGAATGCATTCATCTCAAATCCTTGAAGAAAACTGGGGACTGGAAAATGCCACTAGACTTGGTCAATAGGAGTAATGAGGATGTAATCAACAAGGTTAAATAGGTTGGTTGAGTAGCTTTAACTAGTTATATTCTAAGAGGCTAAAGAATGTGCAAGTTGTGAGAAGTTGAAACGATCAGTGTATTCAGTAAAAGATGCCAAAAGGTAGAGGGAAAGGACTGCTGTGACTTTTGTATAAATTATAAATGCCTAAATGAATTAGGGGAAGGGGGGAGCAGGAGCAGAGTACTGTTCCCTCAACTCCTGGCCTACTCACAAGCTTCGTATCAGCTTATTAAATGTGGGAGTCTAAACTTAATCAACAATCTGCTAAATGTTTGGACTATGACAATCTTTTTTTTTTTTTTTTATTAAATAGTATTTATTTAAAATCTAGGGAATGATAAACA